ATATATATATATATATATATATATATATATATATATATATATATATTGATATCATCTCTCTACTTGAAAAACTTTAAACTCTTTAAAACTCAGTACTTAAGAAAAAAACTTTAAACTAAACTCAATACTTTAAACTTTTTGACAGATTTGATGAATCAAAACTTCTATGTGCAACAGTGTAAAAAGAATTGAAAGATATTTATCAATATTTTGTTAATGAAATTATTAATGATGAAAATAATGCAGTTAGTTAAGTTTTGAAATTTTGTTTATAATTAGCAAAAAAAAATTATTAAAGATAATGGATGTTTTTTATTTTTATTTTGTATATGATACTGTTTATAGGTCATCGAATGTACAGCAGATGACCAGAAGAAAATTCGTCGTCGTTTAGGCATTTTGATTAATCAGATCGAACGTGCTCAACGTTACAGTGCTCCAGAATTTTAAAAACTATACCATTTGCTTACGCTTATCATTTTTGCATATTTTTTTCTTTTCTTAATTTTTAATTCGTTTTTATTTTACTTTTCGGTTTTATTATACATTTAAAATTTGAACATTTTTAAAAATAAATAAATACAAACGTTTATTTCCAAATGAAAATTATCTCTACGAGAGTTAATATTTTTCGAACAATTTTCAAAAAATTATCTTTCAAAAAGCAAAGCGATCAAGTTGTTGTACTAAAATAAGCCATGTGATATAATTCATTATCATTTAGCAAAAATGTTACCAATTTAATCAAATTGCAAAAGTTAACAAATTATTACATTTGTAATTCTATGAGAAAATATTGAGGTAAATTTGCTTTTAGAATAAATTTATTCATTTAGTGAATTATTCAAATTAATTAGCGTATATCTTAAGCTTATATGTTCAACAATTTAAATCCTCAAATTTAATTGCTCGAAATGAACTTAGGAAAAAATGATAATTATATCATTTGATTAGCTATGTTTCGTTCTTTTGTATTTATTTGTCAGTTAATTTTCTTTTCTTCATTTTTTTGCTTAAAAAAAGAAGGAAAAATTGTATGAAATAAATTTTTTATTAATTTTTTAAAATTGTTTAAAATGATTGTAAAGAAAGTGAAAAAAAAAGATAAGATTAACGGAATTGATATTGGAAAATATTACTTTTTGCATTCATTTTAAAATTGTTTAATCAACAAAAATATACTTTTGCCCATACTGCGTGCCATTTTTTTTCTTGTTTCTGTCATTTATAAAAAAAGAGAAAAAAAAGAAACGAAAGATAAAACATATTTTGGAATTTAAATGAAAACATTCCAAAAAACTAATATATGTACATACACTCATTTATTATGTCAATTTCTATTTACAAATGATAAGGAGCGTTTTTTTCTCTTTAAATATTTTAAAATTAAAAAAAAAAGGAAGGAAAGATTTTGGAAGTTTTATAAAATTTATCGCATTTTTTATCATTTTTTTTACAAACATTCACAATTTTCATTTTTGCCAGTATCAATTTTATTTTATAGAGGAATGAATGATATGATTTGTTTGAGATGAGTGAAGTATTTAAGCCAAAAGATTTCATTTTACTTTGAAAATTTTAATTTCCACTTCTCTTCATTTCCAAAAATTTTATAAAATTCATACACAATTAATGCGTGATGAAAGTATAATTTATAGTAATTGTCATTTTCATATAAAGTAATTATCGTTTTTATGGAATGAAAAGTTCAGCGCTTTAGCTTAGATAGTAATTATCATTTTCATATGATAAAATAATTAATTATTTTCGTAGGATGAAAAAGCTAAGTGGCTTTAACTTGAAAAGGATTAATTGTTTACAAAATAAATGAAGTCCTTAGAAACAATAAATAGGTAAGTAAAGGAAGTAAGTAAGTATGAAAGATGACTGGCAGAAGAAATTATTCAATAATATTTCTGTCATTAGTTTTTGATCAAAGAAAATAATATGCAAATATTGTGTAAATGTTGAGTTTTGTAATTTATTGCTTATATCACTTATCGGACATTAGTTTTTTTCTGTTTTTTTTTCAATAATTTATTTTTGTACCTTAATGTAAGGGTCAAGTAGAAGACAAAAAAAAAGGAAATGCATGACAATTATTGTCACTTTTGTTTTTCTTCTTTTTTTTTTGTATCTTTTAATCATAATTAATTAAATGTGGCACGTCATTTATACCAGTGATTCCACTTATTATGTTAAAATTTGAATTATAATAACAGGAGGAACATTATCACGTGTTATTTGATGTGATGCATCTTATGATATACGTCATTCACATGTAAAATATACTTGGCATACGTCATCAAATTTAAATGCGTTTAAATAAGCTATTTTATACATGGAATATAACTAATATAAACCACCTACACACAAAATATTGCGAAAATATGCTTTTTTTGAAATATGGCTGTTCATACATGACGCCAAGTTTGACGTGACGTGTAATGCTATTACGTCAAGCATAAAGGCATATGAAAGAAACAAAAGAAGATTGCTTCCAAGAAATTTGATGATCTACTGGCAAAGCTATCGAGACGTGAAATGTTGGGCAATTTTAATCTAATTCAGTTTACCTTAAGATATGTTACCTTATCCTTTTCTACGGCTATCACGTCAAATACGAACGGTGTATGGAAAACGTAAAAGATTGGCAAGGCCACCAATGAATGGACGTGAAATGTTGCGCACTTTTAATCTGTGACCTTTTTTCTACGACTATCATATCAAAAACGAACGATATATGGAACATGTAAAAGAAGATTAGATCTTCGGTCACGTGAATGCACCTGGAAATCTCCAAATAAACAAATCATCAACATCGGATGATTCCTCTGGGATTTGCAAATTTCATAATTGTTCTGGTTTGCTGTTTGTTGTATTGGTAACAGAGTGTGGTACTCACTGAAATCAGGTTGTTACTGATAAGATCACCTTATGAGGGTCAACTCGCTGCACCTCATTGTTGACAGGTTATTTCAAGTAGTTGATAGTTCAGTTTGTATTATCATTGTATTGCTAATGTTTTGTAGAGAAGCATGCTAATGGTACCAATAAGTTTCATACCCTTGATTACGATGTATTAGTTGAGAATAACGTATTTGTTCTGATGCTTAATTGGTAAGTTATTGAAGTAATCATATTTGAAATGTGCTTTTTTGTTTATAATTTATTTTTCGAAATTCCGATTCACCTCTTTTTATGGACTTTAAAACTTGCATGTTAAAAAATTTGAAATGTTTTTTCAATTTTAACTGCAGTCTTTTGTTACGTGCAAATTTTAGGCGAAAAATTTCGGCTCATATGTTAAGAGAGTTAAGTTAATGGCAGTTTTAATAATTGTAAATTTATTTATCCATATGTACTACTGTTATTTTCCAAAATGGACGCATCTTTTACTGGCGTAAGTGTAAAAATGGAAGATTCGTTTGAATTTTTATGATAAAAATGGACAAAAAAATGTTATTTAGTAAATCCTAAGTAAGTAATGACTAATGGTTTCTTTTTCTTTAACTTTTGTGCATTCTTTTCCAAATTTATTACAGTAATCTTCCTACACAATCCCTTGAAAAAGCCTGATTAATTATGATATCCCTTTATAATTATCCTTTCTAAATTTGATATTTCAATTTTTTTCGGCTTTTTAAGTTTTTCTGAAAACATTTCGGCTTTTTTCAATTTTTTCAAGTTTTTTCACATTTCTCTTCTCGTTTTTCCATAGTTTCCTCGGTATGATTTCTTTTCTGTTTGCATTCCTTTCTTCAAATTTTTCTCAAAAATTTGAAACATTTAACCATAAAATAAAATTAGGAAATGATATGAGGGAGAGAAAAGAGAAGAAACGACAGAAAATTAAACTTCTTGAAATTATTCCAATTTAATAGTTATTGGTGTGGAACTGTTGAAATATTGGTCAAATTCAGCTGGCACAAGGCTCAGTTGGCATAAGGTTAATGATCGCTTGTATATATATTTTAGCTTTTTGATGCAACTACGACTACGTCGAGGCAGGAAATTAGATTTGGATGAAAATAACACATTTAGAAGTATTAAAAGGCAACAACTGATGGTACAGCAGCATTGTGATAGCAAGTAAGAAACATAAACAGCAGAAGAGAAGAAGGGTCTCAGCATCAAATGGGTATAAAGACGGATAATTGTTTGAGGAGCAGTGGAATGTTTCTATAAAATGCGGAATCGTTATGGTGCTTCTTGAACAACAACAGCGCTTATATATCAGTTATTTTATCGTTAGTTTTATTGTTTTTATTCACTATTTTGGTATAAGTATTTTTGTTTCTAAAATTATTGATAAAATTAAATTAGAATGCGAGCATTTAAAATAATAATAAGATAGAAAGAATGAGAGAAGAGAATAGGGATAATTGGTGATAAGTCGAATAAATAATTAAATGTAACAATAAGAATAACAATAATAATAATGATAATAATGACAATAATTATTTTTTTTTTTGTTTGTTTAGCTCTTAATTTGCGTTTCATTTTTTGAGCATATGAGTCTCAAGTTAATGCTTATTCATTATTTGTCATCCATAGACCAAATTAATCTATCAGATTTTTAGTGTTGTTTGCTAATTGTAAAGATATCCTTAGTCGTATTTTCTAAACAAATTGACTTCTCGTGGCATTTTAATTTGAGTAATGTTAATTGTAGAATTCAAAGGCTTGCGAAAATTTGATGTATGTATACAATGAATACGAGCAGTCAGTTAGCCGCCGGGAGCGCGCTTGACTCGTCATCCGTTCAGCAGTTAAATACGACCAAAGAGGATTTGAAGACTCATTTCATCACACGTGAAGGTGTTTACAGGCAAATGACTCTTTCCGAATATTCACGGCCAAGTCGCGTCGCTTTAAATCAGGTCTTTTTTTTTTTTGCTAATTTAAATTGCAGGAGCTACAAGTGGTATAAAAATTCATTACGGAAAATTGACTGTCAAATCTGCGCTTATTTCATACAAACATTTGAAGCGGAACATAATGGAAAGTAGAGTTCTTAGAAAAGTCAAACTTCTAGAATAGATAAGGTTGCTTTTTTCCTGCTAATTATGGTGTTTTCCCTAAACATTCATCAAATTATGGTTTAATAATGGATTGCTGAATCTCGAAAAAGCAGTTTCTGTAGGAGTATGAAGATTAAATTTTACTTCAGTTAAGTTATATATTGCTTACATTAATGAAAAAATAATGGTTTATGTTTGATAGAGAATGACAGATAAGTAAATATTGTTAGTTGTTTGAGGAGTTGCAACTTTTAAAGTATACTGTTGAATAGGGCTGTTGCTCTGGGAAAGTTATTTCAACTGTTTTTGTCATCAGGGTGGTAATAATGTGAGTAATGCTCCTGTTCGTGTATCCTTTGTAACTGTTCATCCGACAGCGTCCACTTCACAACACCAACCTATTGATAATATGATGTTGAACGGTAGCGTACCAACACTACGCAATTTGGCGTTAGATGCGGATTTGGAACGTAATCTCGATGAAAGTGATTCCCCTGTTTATTCGGACTCTGATATGAGCACCAATAATGATCGAATATGCTTTAATGTTGGCCGTGAATTATACGTTTTCGTTTATCGGTACGTTTTAGTGATTTGATTTCGATAGTTTGTCCCCATTAAACTTGTCAGTAATTCTTCTCTAGGATTACCTTTACACTTTGTCTTAGGCAACAACATTTAGGTTTGACTCATAAGAAAATTGTTGTTGCTGCCTTTTCCACTGGTTGATGCGATTTATTAAATTATTCAAAGTTTTGTTGAATAAGGTAATATTCAATGTTAAACAGGTCAAACACAGGTCAACTATTTCAGAGGTGTTCAGAGTGCTGTTGATTTAAATAAGCCAATTGATAAGCGAGTATACAAAGGTACTTATCCAACATCGCATGATTTCAATCAAGAAACCGCTACCGCAACTTCATGCAGGTTATTTTAGCATATTATTTTTAACAATTTCTGTGTTTTTAGCTGTTTGCAACAAGGATTATTTAGTCAGTATTGTGCATTATCATACAATGAACTTAATAAACAGTACTGGATATAGCATTATTAGTACTGAATATAGCCTTATCAACATTATTAATTTTTTATATCCAAAACTTTGCTATACTATACTCCTTACAATTGATATAAACTGATTGCTATACGTGACGACGATTACCGCACGAATACGTAGTATTTACCTTGTAACATTTACACATCTTGTTCAGTTTTATGTTCACACTACAAAAAATATTTTGAATGAAAAAAATGAGTGGAATTTACTGTATAGAGCACTTTGTAATTGAGCTTCGATTTGACTAATTTCGCTGCAAAGTGTCAAATTGATTGACGACTTCTAGTAAGTTCTCACCGACAATTATCATAGGATTGTATATATAGATTTACTCAGGTTCCCTGACTTTCTTTTTCTTTTCCTATTTTTGCACCGTAATAAGTACATTTGTATCAGTAACTCATTGGTCACATATTTGTATGACTAATCGAATATAGACTTCGTTCTGCCCGTTACTATAGCTAATATTTTGGTTTCTGTCCTCATTAGTTGCCTTCTTCTGTCCATCCCGTTCATAATCCACATGCTTTTCAATTTTGCATAGCCTCGTAAAAAAAGGAATTTCTTTGACCAATAAATAATTGCCATGTTAGACGGAGCTGTTGCAAAATTCTTCATAGGGATTTATGTTTCTGGGAAAATTGTTTTCCACTTTATTTTTATCGTTGATAAAAGATAAGTACTAACAGCTTAACGTGCAGTTTTTCGCTTAAACCGTTGTTTTTTTATGGACTGTACTGGACATTTTGTATTTTTCCCCTCCTTTTATGTTTTCTTTTTTTTTTAAATTTCACTGTGATATAGAATATATTCGGAGTGTTTTATAAGTTTCTATAAGTTTTTACATTGGTGAAAAGTTAAATAAGAATCCTTGTTTTCATTTTTTTTTTCACATCTACCGGAACTAATTTATTGCAATGCGGTTGTGTCAAGTTTTGATATCAGTTTGAATAAGAAATATCCTATTTTTTTGTATTATGTTTGATTAAACCGTTAAACCATGGTTTAACCATCACTTACGAAAGTGAAATGCTGAGATAAAGGCTTTATTGTGTTTGTTTGCATCGGCAAAGCTAGTTTTCCCTACACTTCAAAATAACTTATTTTCTTTTCTCTCCAGAATGGGATAACGATGTAAGTGGAATGGCTGCAAAAAAAAAAAAGAAAAAAAAGAAAAGTGATAGCGATGATAATTTACAGCTTGATAATCGGTTTTTCTGCCGGACAAATTCAGCTTATTGATCCATTCCGAAATGATTTGCAAATCAGTCGACTATACAATGAAGACAGATTAATTGATAAAACCGCAGTAACTTGTTTGAAATGGATTCCCGGTGAGCCGTATTTGAAATAATTCATTTTTTGTTTTCCAAATTAAAATTCAAGGAAAAGAATTTTTAATCTCTTCATACTTTTCAGTTAATTTGTGAAGATGTATCTTGGAATTTAAATTAATAAAAGCGTCATTTATCAAAACCAGAAATTGCAGTTTCCCGCCATCTGTTTGTATTGAAAAACAATTTCCAGGTCAACAGCAGTGTTTTCTGGCATCTCATACTAGTGGTAATGCATATTTGTACAACGAGAATTTGCCCTGCAATCCATCACCTCCTGTTTATCAAATTTTCAAACAGGTAAGATTTTAATGTTTTTGTAAACCCAAACAAAAAATATCAAATCGACTCTCGTCAGAATGAAGAGCAATTTCAATCAAGATGCTGAATTCATGCAGTTCGATAAATGCTTGACTTTACAATTTTAGGGAGATGGATATACAATTTATACATGTAAGACTAAAACATCAAGGAATCCAGTGTATCGTTGGGCCGTTGGAAGTGGCACGCTCCATGAATTTGCATTCTCTCCAAGTGACGATACAAAAATGCTTGCTACAGTTAGTCAGGTAAGTAATAATAAATAAAGAAGCTGAAATTATTTCACACTTGTTGGTTTCGAGCCTCTATTGCATAGACTTTGCACGCTTTTTCCCATCCTTTTTCTTTTTCTTTTTTCAATTTATGAAGGCCATAAAATTCTGCAGAATTTGAAATATGTCTACATTCTAAAACAAAGTCATTTAACTGAAAGCAGAGAGGATTGTTAAAAGCGGGATTTAACAATTCGATACTGGTTTGAAAGAGAATTCTGAAACACTAATTAGCTCACGATCGGGAGCCAAATCAAAATTGTCGTCCCATATTTATTTGGAACCAAATTCAAAAATCTCCGTAATTATTAAGTGCAAATATGCTGACCGTGAAGGCCTATGGTTTGTATGTCATATATCTGCTCATGGTTGTACGAAATAATCGTCCTAATAATGCAATTATTTTTTTTCTTTCATTATTTTTAGGATGGTTTCTTGCGAATTTTTAATTATCATACAATGGAATTGCTGGCTTATATGAAATCCTATTTCGGTGGATTGCTTTGTCTAGCATGGAGCCCTGATGCACGATACATTGTTACTGGTGGTGAAGATGATCTAATAACTGTTTACTCAGTTATAGATAAGCGAGTCATTTGCAGAGGACAAGGACATAGAAGCTGGATTTCTAAAGTAGGTTCCTTATCTTTTCCATTTGGCTTAGACAAATAAAGGCTCTAAAAAAAGATAGTAAGAACGACACAATTTTATCTCTGAATTTTTAAACATTTGGAAATATGCCATGATGTTTTTTTTCTCATCCTTTTAATTTTAGTAACTTCAGCTGGAAATGGGATTTTGATTAGTGGTTTGGCTTAAAACACATTGATGTAAACAAGGCTGTACCATACTTTGGTTGATATGATTTTCTTAAATGCACTAATTTTAGGTAGCTTTCGATCCTTATACATCATATACAGCAGATACTGTCGGTCACTCAGGTATTCCAGTCGATCTTGGTTCTGACGAAGATTTGCAACCGTCAAGTTTAAATAACAGTGATTTGCTATTCAAAAGTTTGTTATTTTCTTTAGAAAGTACTAAGATTCAAATATTTTGCGAATTATATTGAAATTAAGCATCCATATCATAATGTGATATCAGTTGGATCAATGCAAGTATTCTGGTGATGCATTATTTATGCTAAAAAGGTTGTGTATAATTTTTAATCATATGAAAGAAAGATTTACGTGCAACCTTCTAATATTTCCCTGATACGATGTCACAGTTCAGCATTTTTCCAAGTTTCATGTGGTAATGTTTTCCTTGATAGTTGCACTGCTTTTCCCAACAGACCCTATCCACCTCAACCCTTGCACCACACCATATTTACAGGTTCAATTTCATTGAAAATCATTTAAATAGGTGTGGTAAATAATGATTCACTTAAAGTGAACTGCTTTTCTTAGCAATAACAATGATGTTGAATATAAGGAAATTCCTAATTATTTATTTTAATAGATTCAGCTACGCAGTCAATTAATCGTATATTTACCAATAACGTACAGTTCAACGGGCCATCTTCTTTTGGTGATCTACAGTCAACTTCATCCTCTGTTCCATTATCTTCATTGAAAAATTCCAGTTTGTTTTTCCAGATGATTTTTTCTTACTGAATTACTTGCCGTACTGTTTGTATCTTTGTTTCCAAAAACGTTCCCTCAAAGATTTTAAAAGCAAGAAAAGAATGTGAATAATATGATAGTAATTAAAAAGAATTACAATGAATGAAATATACGATAGTCTTATAAGTGTTGTTGCGCTGATTTACTTGAAGAAAATGCTTTACTAGAAGCATCTGGTTTCGGCCGGACGATTTTTTTCTTATTACTATTTGACTTCAAATGTAACACAGCTTAATTGAAAATATTTTATTTGTATATGGTAAAGATAATTAATTATTGCTCAAAATATGTACGAGCGGAAATATTTCAGATGGTAATTCAACACATAGTGTTCGAGTTGGAATGCAATCAAATGTTCAAACGCGAGCGCGGAGAGATTCTCTTTCTGTGTTATCTGTTACCGGTGGTGCTTATACCAATGTGGGCGTTACTTACAGGTAAATTTTTATTCGTCGGTGCATTTACATTTTGGAGAAAACCCAGAAGATTCTAATTTAGCTTTCATATGTTTCATTTGATCTGCGATTGATTGTATTATGTGTTTTGAGATAGTTAAAGCTTGTTGCAATAACTTGTTATTCGTCATAGCCAAGTATCCTGTCAGCATAAAGATAAGTGAAAATTATTTAGTTTGTTGACGATATGCCACAATCTACAAAATGTTTATTAAAGATTCACTGGTTCAACATATATTTCATTCAACATATGTTTCGTTTTTGAGTTTGATTTTAGGCTTTAATAACCAATTTTACATATTTTTATTCTTTTTCGTATTTGTCATCAGTTTATATCATATTTTCCTTGCTTTTCAGAATTGGTTCAGTGGGTCACGATACGCAGTTATGTTTATGGGATTTAACAGAAAGTGTGTTAAGGCAGACAGTACCTAATCAAAAGCATCGTACATCAACTGTTATTTCAGTTGGAACCGACCAGGTTTTATTTTTTTAAATTCATTTATTGCTGATTATTTTAGTGAAGAATAGAAGTGGAGTGATGCGTTCTACATCACTTTTTTTTTCTAATAATTATGCATTAAATATACAGAATGTGGTAATGTGTGCAGCTTTGGAATCATCAAAACCAGCGACTACTGACGTTAGAGAACGACCAAATGGCAAAGATAAAAAGCACAAACGCGGTTTTAGTTTCGCTGCGAAGTTAGCTGGTAGTTCACAAGACAGGTAATTATTTTCTTTCTAAGATATGTATATTTCTTTTTTGTGTGAAGGAAAGAACACGAGACAAATAATAATGAGCTACTTGCATGTCTTAGCCTTCTTTTAGGTGGAACAGAAATCATTCAACTACTACAGCGAACGAAAAAGACAAAGAAAACTCGGCAAAATTCTTGGGAACACCAATATGCCCACGAATGGACGAAGTAGCGGTAATTGAACCACTGATTTGCAAGAAAATCGCTCATGAACGATTAACGGGATTAATATTTCGCGAAGATTGTGTTGTAACTGCATGTCAAGAAGGTTTTATATTAACTTGGGCTCGACCGGGCAAGGTACACAAAATTTGATCAGAATCCTTTC